TTTGATTACTTTTCTCTCATCTTAATTATTACTTACTGATACGTTTTCCGTAATACTTGTAAGTAGTACATGTTAAATCGAAGACACGCCCATATTTATAGGTACTTCAATCCTGCTCGGGGACGTTGTGAGTTATTTTATTGGTCAGGATGTTGCGGAAATGGAAACAACTTTCAGACGTTTCAAAGCTGTCAATCAGCTTGTGAAGGTACGCATTCAAAAGTTTATCAAGGTAGATAAATTGAATACAACAGATCAATGTATCATTAGCACTTTGTAATGGATCATTAGTACGGATTTTTGTGTGAACTAATAATGGAGTGCAGCTTTTGTTGTTTTTTGTTTGTTACTTGTGTGATTATCGATGTGCAGTGTTGCAAGCTTTGAAAAGATTGAGTTTAGTTAGTTTTTACTCCTACCCCCACCTCGCTCCCCCGAATATAACCTGCTGTCGAAGGAAATTTATGAGTAAAACTACAACAGTGTGCCTTAATATGTATATCGAGCAGACGGACAGCACGGATTATGTAGGGTAGGATAAAGAATAGATAATGAATAACCCAGATTCAGATTTAAGTTCCGCGGAAGTCGTCCGACCTAGAAGTTTCTGAATGGAACTAAGTTTGAAAACATCGCCAATAAACCCATCACATTGAATGTATTTAGTTTATGGGCGGAGTATCCAGGACCTCCAAGTTTCCTCGCTATTGGTGGAACCCTTACCTTTAGCTGAGGCGGACCAATAAAAGGAGTGCAATTACTGGAATTCTACCTAGCATTAGAACCATCCTAAAAATTCAGCTTATATTCAGAATTTAAAGGAAAGTGAAAAGATTTTTTTGAGATGACTTGAGAAAAACCCTGGGTAGATGGATTTTCATGGGATGGAAATTCAGCGAATTTCAGTCGACAGTGATTCATCAATTATAAATTTTATGTATATAAGATGATTTTAAGATCTTGACTCATTCTCAAGAATAGGCAAGGGGGTGACAGTGCTTTGAGAAAATTTCACGGAAAAACATCAACCAGAACTTCAACAAAATAATGCTCTCTCAAGAGCTACTAGTCCACAGCCATAAAATCTCCGAAGCCAGATTCCAAGATCGTTTTAAACAGAGTGAAGAGTATAGTGGAAAATCCTCTTCTACGAGAATGTCTTCCCGACCAGTTAAGTCTCTGGAAGAAGGAGGCAAACTGAGAAAAATCCAGAATAAGCTATGCTGTTCGTTGCTTTTAACACTACCGGCTCTCGACCGATGCAGTTTCATTAGATTGTATGTAGACCCCTCTGAGTTAAGCCTACGGAGCACTTCGTTGTGGGAGAAATGGAAGGAGCTAGTATTTTGATACAGAATAACGAAAGCTCCCATACGGTACAATCTCCTTACTACCAAGTCTTGCCATCTAATCAGATCTTTTCAAAGGGTTCTTCAAGGTGTGTGTCGGAATAACGAAAGGCCGCTCACCACCAATTGAGCTCATAAACTTCGAGTAACAGCTTACGGTTTTGACGCTTCTCTTCTTCTTCAGCTTTCTCGAACTCAGACGTTCCCACTCAAATATCACTCGCTGAGAGCAGTTGTGCCTGCTGTTTGAAGCCGTTCTCTGTCGGCTATGGCTACTTTCTTATTCCCCGATACTATTTCGACGTTCTTTCACAACAATGTCGACCGTTTCTCTATCGTGGGACGGGTGGCTTTGGCAATGTGTTCGAAACGGAGCAGAAATGTTTGGCACAGTGCCAACGGGGAACAGTTGCAGGTGTAGCCATTTTACCGTCCCATTTCGCTATGCCACATGGCTTGATCGGAAATCGCCTCTGCTTCACACAAATTGAATTTGAATGGCTTACGCTTGCTTAGCTTATTCACATCACATCCTCGTTCTTCGACGTACATTGGTGAGGATGCGCCACGCCTGCACTTAAGGAACAATTAAGTTATGGCCGATTGGTAGGATAATTAAGCAAAAAGCGAATAGATACTTTAAAAATGTTGCACAGATGAGAAAAAAAGCATCAGCTCAAGCTTTTTGCTATTTTTCAGGTCGATCTGCTTTTCATATTAGCTCACTAACATTTTGTTTTCAACCCGAAAGATTTCAGTGGACCCATGTACTCTGGACAAGGAGTCCGGCGTCGGTTCAGTTCAAATAGTTCGATTCTATTTCAATAAACGTCTGAAACTGTGTGAAGAATTCGTCTATTTCGGAGCCGGTGGTAATCGCAACAACTTCCTTACCCTGGAAGAATGTCAAGCGAAATGTCCAGGTGGAGATTTGCATGCATTCAGGGAAAGGTCTTCTGGACAACTATCATCTTCTGGCTCTATAGGCTGCCCGATGAACTTCTGTTTTCTGCTGGATCTACGAAAGCTCTATCCCATTCTGCCTAATCCGATATCGCATGCTGCTTCTAACAAATTCGTCTCTTCTGGTACCTTACTAACCTCTAACATTGGTTTTTTGGTTTTTTTTATGATTAAACACTAACTTTCCCTCTTGAATAACTTCCTGGGATGGAAGTATTTTCATATTTTCGGAATCGGTGGAGGAATTGGTAGCATCATTAGCTGTATTGCTAAACAACCTCGTTGAATCTTCAGAGTCCCCAAATCCATGTGCAGTGACCGTATCCATTCCGGGAGGTCAGTGTACTCCTGGAGTAAGCTCTTGCGGAGGTGGAAGTTTCTGCCACGTAGGAGCCAATGCTCAAACCACCACCTGCTGCCCTAAACCAGGTGAGTTCTGTTTAACGTTTTACATCATCATACTAGTCTAGAAGCTCCTTTCAGCTCCTATCGATCGCTGTCAGCAACCTCTGAATGTCGGCATCGGAAATGCTCAGTTGCAACGGTAAGCTCCAACGGTCGTTGTTAGAGTCTCAAAGTGCTAAACCTTGATCACCCCCCCCCCGTTGCGCCATGCATTCAACTTCCATTCTCAACCCTTGTGGTATTTGAATGCGTGTGTGTGTGCTTGACGTTCAATCATGGGAACACCTGGCGAAAAGTGCTGCATTTTTTTCGCCCTCCGGTAAGAGTATGGTACCGACTGGATGTCTACAGAGTGGCGAGAGTTAGCGCCCGATTTGAGCGGGATCAAACCCTGACCCGAACCCTGGACCTCTAACAGGCAGCTCCGCTACCTACCGCAGATTCACCCCTAGTGAAATTTTGATTTAAGGAATTTACAAAATTCAGGTGGTACTTCAATCCACTCACTCAGCAATGTCAACCGTGCATATATCGTGGTCTACAGGGTAACGAGAACAATTTCCTCAGCAAACAGGATTGTGAAAATTCGTGCCTCGGTTCGTTTTTTTCTCTTCTCTTCTGTTACCATTATTACAACTTTGTTACTAACTAGCGGCTTCAATTTTATGAAATTATATTTGCTGGATCAATCCGCCTATAATCATAGTTTTCACGGAGATCATCGACTGTGGAAGTTGGACCACTTCTAAGCCTTCGAGTATCCGGTTTTCATATTGCATTGACAGAATGGAACTTACTCCGATTTCTGGCAGGATCTCCAAAACCAAGAAATTTTATCCTGTCGGATTTGAGCTCAAAAACTCTCAGACATTGTCATAGCAGATGAGACCCGGTTTTGGAACGCTCCCCGCTCTCGAATTCTAGACAGAGTTGCATAAGCATTTGTCACGTATGCGGGTTTATACAATGAGTTGCACTGATCAACAGAGGTACATAACAGTGTTCGTATCGTCCCAAACGAGTCCGTTGCCAGTCAGCTAACCCTTCAGGGATGGGAGGCTTCATTGGCCTGAGCGATTAGCGATCCATGTCCATATATTTATGAATATTACGTGACAATTATAAAATTTTCGCCTCTACACCTTTTATCACTTGAAAATAACTTAGCAGAAATTGTCCACCAAAGGTTGTGTGGGTGACAAGCCCCTCCCACAGCAATGACCTTCACTAACAACTTGCTTGGGCTGTACTTTTGTGAAAATCAACGCAGAGCCCCATGATTTGGTTTGATTTCAGTGAATGCGTGCAAAATCGGCTCACCATATCGTTCTCAAGGAGTGATCGTTCAGTGCTCAGCCACAAATCCTACCGTATGCCCGGCTGGACACTATTGTCATGTCGGAGCCGACACTACAACTAGTGTTTGTTGTCAGGCGCTTGGTTAGTCGTCCATTTTAGGAAGAAATGACTTAAGAAAACTATTTTTTTGTAAATTTTTTGTTTAAATTCAAATAAGACTGATTTCAACGGTCCAAGAAGGTGGTGGTTCTGTCGGAAATCGAAAATTATGTTCACGTTCTGGCCCGAATCTGGTTATGGTACACAGTTTCACAATCTGCTCCTCACTTGAATCTCCCCGCATGCTTCCGCTTCTTTACCTAACAAATTCCTTTACTTATCTATGTCACTGGTGGAAGGATTCTCATAATAAAGCTGTCTTTCAGAACTTTTCCCGCCCGAATCTGGTTATGGTACACAGTTTCACAATCTGCTCCTCACTTGAATCTCCCCGCATGCTTCCGCTTCTTTACCTAACAAATTCCTTTACTTATCTATGTCACTGGTGGAAGGATTCTCATAATAAAGCTGTCTTTCAGAACTTTTCCCTATGCAGGTAACTCTCTACTCTGTTGGCAACACTTACTGCCTTCCCTCATATGAGGTAAGTACGGTTGATGGTGATTGGTGGTGTGATGCATGCCGATTTCTCAAAAAGCTTTGTTTAATCAATCGATTATTGATTTTTGTTCGTTTATGTAGTGAGCTTAACCAGCTTTATTGAATTTTGCAGTGTTGTGAGCTAGAAGAAAGACTTTATGAGCAGAAAAAGGAAGGAAATTCTGTGGGGAACTCTTTGAAAGTGGAAGTTCCTCCTCAGTCTACAAAATGAGTAGTTACCTTTAATTACAGGGGAAGAACAAGTCATTATTCAGTGCACATCAATCTTTCCGAGATCCGGCTGTCCTTCACGTTTGGGAAAGCTTTGGAATTAGTGATTAGTCCACGCAATGATTCAGGGCTGACTTAATGAAATTCGGTCTCTAAACTTACCCTATATTATAGGGGTTTTGCAGCAGCTCCTGACTCTACACATGAGAACCGCCGTGAGCTCTCGTAGACCAGATCTCGCCTTTCATCTCATTGTCAATTCGGATATTGTTTCCATTTACAAATTATACCTCACTCCTACCCCCCCCCCGTTGGTTTACCCATTTCCACCTATGGGGTAGTTAGAAAAGCGTTCCTCATGGAATCTCCCTTCCTTTCTGACAACCAGTTACTTGTATTATACAGTCCTTTGTATTGTGTAGGAAACAACCCATGTGCTGAGCCGTGGACCAAAGGAGAAGGAAATTCGGCGCTGACTCGTTTCTATTATGATGCAGTCCAGAGGAAGTGTCTCGCCTTCAACTACTTGGGATTGAAAGGCAACCAAAACAACTTCCTAACAAAAGAAGCTTGTGAGGTTTGTTTTTCTGTCCAACTGCGTTGGTCATCTGAAACATGGAGAAGAATTTTAGTTGAAGCCTCTACTAGTTACTTATCTTATCATGGGTCTTTTCTAGGCTCTCTGTCCCGTATGGGTAAACCCTTGTGCCGTCGGTCAGCCAATTCTGACCCCTGATCAACGTCCTTTCCACTGCAATCAGAATGCTCCATGTTCCTCCGGGTGAGTTTTCGTTTTTACGAATCAGTTTTCGGGCATGCTTCAGAAGCAGCTCACTTGTAATTGGGGAACCTACTGAATTTGCCTTTTCCTCTTGAAAAAATGAGTATACCATCACCTTCAGTTCAATAGAACCTTTTACTTTCAGGTATTATTGCCATATTGGCTTCGATGAGTCGACTACTGTCTGTTGTCAGTCCGAAGGTGATCCATGTAGCCTGATAGTAAAAGAAGGCCATGGTTCTTCAAGCTTGAATCGTTGGTTCTACAACCATCAGACGAGACAGTGCCAACCGTTCACCTACCGTGGTGAGTTTTCAGTTGACCGATCAGTCGACTTCTATGTATTAGCATTGCCCCCAAATTAAATACTATTTGGTAATTTTTTAAGGTCTGGGCGGTAATGAAAACAACTTCCTGTTGCGAGAACATTGCGAAGTAACTTGTCCGGTTTGGGTAAATGCCTGCCCGAAGGGAGACGCATACCTGCTTCCCAATGGACGGCCACAACACTGCAATCCGACGATGGAAGACTCCTGTCCACAGACGCATTGGTGCCATCCTGGTCAGTACAGTTTCATAAAAGCAGTTCACTGTTTCTGCTCCACCAAGAATCAAGTAATTCTTCTTCTGTGCATCCAATTTTCACACATATACAGGTCCTGATGAAGCCACTACTATGTGTTGCCCAGGACGAACTGATCCATGCATGAGTGCCAAGACCGAGGGCGAAGGTCCTCTGCAGCTGATTAGGTAGGCCTATGTTCACATTTTTTGCAAAATGACAAATTCTATTTAGTAGGTATCAGGGACTTTTTTAAAAATCTAATTTTTTTAGAAATATAATGTAATTCTGACAATTTTATATTTCAAACTATTACAAATTACGTTTTTAGGTACTATTTCGATGCTCCTAAGAGACAATGTCTCCAGTTCACTTTCCGTGGTATCCGAGGCAGTCCGGTGAGTTACAATCATTAGATTCGGCTAAGTTTACAAAGTCGTGGGAAATTCGTTTTAAGTCTAGGAAAATTTGAATCGACTCATTATTTATTTAGATAAAAAACATAGTCTTAATAATAAAGTGTTTAGAATAATTTCTTGACAAAGGAAAGTTGTGAAGCACGATGTCCAGTTCAAATAAATCCGTGCCCTCTGACGCTCAACTCGCTCAAATTTGCGGTACGCCTTTTCCCTCACTACACATCCTATTACCAGTTTTTTCTGTAACTTTTTTTCTCTAATTCCTCCTTTTTTNTGGCACTGCCCTACTCGCTCTTTTTCTCTGAATAGGCATTTGGGGCCATGGGGAAGGGGGAGAAAAGAGGGAGGAGGCTGATTCAGAGTATTCTTATCCCATTACGATTTAACTCACCGTCCAGTTGAACCAACATTGAGAATATTTCATATAATGTTATAAAGGTGGTAAGAGTTATCCGCTTCTCTGCCTAGACTTTCGGAAATGTCCTGTAATCCATTTTTATACCGATCTCTCTTACAGAAGTCCGAATTTTCAAAGAAATCGTTTTAGGTTACGCTGACCACATGCTCCAAGGATTTGCTTTGTCCCGATAAGCATTGGTGTCATATTGGAGAAACGAAAGAGACGACCGTGTGCTGCCCAAGCGGTAAATCTGAGTGCTCGTGTTTTTGTTATCTATTTGGGCAGCCTTTTCCACGACCCAGTGAACATCACTGAGCGTATGCTCAGCCTGCGATGCTCAGGGGTGACCCGCAGCAAATGAAAGGATGAAGGAGGCTTTCGAGTCAAAAAATTATAAATGATGGGGGGTCAGCGACATTGTAGGACCAGAAGATCTGCTCGACCGAGAACGCCATAAGCATTCGGGGTGACCACTGAATTGAAGCCACTGGATCCGTCACTACAACAAATGAACTCTGAAAAAGTCGGATCGAGTTTCTTCGTGCGCTATGAACGAAGGAAAATGGAGCGCTCTACGTTTTAACCGGACTGGAATAACTTGATCATTGAAGAACCCCATGTGATGATAACTAAAAGTCTTCACAAACCATATAATTACCCGTTCTGAAGAAAGTAAACTCGCAGGGAGATCATTCAAGTAATCTTTCTACTTTTAGTGATTTTCCTGAAGCTATGATTCATCAGATTAATAAGAACTACTTTCTAGATCTAGTTTCAAGTTGAAAAGTCAACCGAAGATTTTTTCAGTTTGAAAGATTTTTTAAAGTGTTGATTCCCATCATGTGTTGAATTTTGCAGTGCTTCCCGATCCATGTATGGCACCGGCTCGTAATCCGGGTGAAGGGACATATCATGCTACTCGATGGGCATTCGACGGTGCTACACGCAAGTGTGTTCCCTTCGAATATCGTGGCTTACGGGGTAATGCCAACAATTTTATCAGCCGAGAGGCTTGTGAGCGGCAATGCCCAGGTACGTGGATGGATCATTTTTCTGATAGTTCATTGTATTTTGACTGATTGGACCGAATAAGTAGCAGTGCACGACATTTACGAGCGTTTTCGAGCATATCTGGTCTTCTTAAGCCTGTTGCACCCCCCTGTTACTAAAATTTTGGTACGTTGACCTCTCTACCGTCTCTCTGTGCCGCATCTGTGGAGCATATGTTTCCATGGGAACGATGTTTCGGGCCAAATATTCAACCCCATATAGAACCAAGTCAAGTAACAAGTCAAGTAACAAGCGTATCCCCTAAGTACTAAGGTCTACCATTATCACAAATCAGATTCAATCAAGTCGGTGCTACTCACCAAGAAGTAGTTGATTGGCATATTCTGGAAAACGGCACTAACTGAGTAGCAGCAACATTCAACCCATCATAGTTATTCCAACACTGAACCAAGTCCACTTTGAAATTGTTCGGTACTTTTTCCGTTCAACCTACTTTCTCTTCAGTTTTTGAAAATCCATGCAAACTCTCCGAGCCGTACTCCGTTTTCAACAAGTACTATACATGTGGTTCAACAAATACTTGCCCATCGCAACATTACTGCCATATTGGCGTCGACACCAACTATTGCTGCCCGGTATTGAGTAAGTTTGAATCGGGTATTTATGTGTCTCAGGTTCCGTAATTTCTTCAAGACCTCTAGATTGCTGACGTCGGTGAGTTCGTGTGCTGTTTGTCAAGATCCTCTGCTTAATCCTAGTTTTAAATTTAGCTTTGTGTGTGAAGGGAGTGCTCACGATTGAACGCATAGGAATTTTTCTTGAGTGATTTAACTATTGCTTTATGCTTGTTCTTCATAAAATTGTTTAAAAATTTGTTAGTTTATTATTAATCGAGTCTGGACACTTTGTGAGACCGAGTTTCCTTCAAGAACATTTCTGATTCAGGGGCGGATCTCATGAGTGGGGTAAGGTTCGCAAGACGATGTAAGCAGAAAACTTCAGCAGAATTAGTCGTGAGCACTGCCTTTGCACTCAGCCCACCGCCTTAATTTGCCGTTTTTCCTTTTTTCTATTTACTCACAATATTGTGCAGTGTGTAACTGTGTACTACATAGCAGAAAATGGAGTTTAACTCTGAGCATCGAAAATTAGTCAAGTGAGGCATCAAATGTTGCATTAAACTTATGTGTCAAATTTTAGCGAAATACCGAAAAAATAAATAATTATTTTTGGTTCAAAATGCAGAAACAAATCATATTGGGCTTTTCTGAGCCACTCATCGAGACCGAACAACCGAAATATAGTCGTCTAATAAGTATCATAGCGTCGAATTCGTAATGATCCTTCAAGGTGGCGACCCATGCAGTCAACCCATGGATCGAGGAGTTGGTATGGCACAGTTACAGCGATGGTATTGGAATGCTCAATCGCAGACGTGTGTGCAGTTCAGGTAAGGTAGTACGGGTAGCTTGGTGTGGGTTTCGTTCAGTAACAAAATCGAACNTGTTGCATTAAACTTATGTGTCAAATTTTAGCGAAATACCGAAAAAAGAAATCATTTTTGTTTCAAAATGCAGAAACAAATCAGATTCGGCTTTTGTAAGCCACCCATTGAGACAGAACAACCGAAATATAGTCGTCCAATAAGTATCATAGCGTCGAATTCGTAATGATCCTTCAAGGTGGCGACCCATGCAGTCAACCTATGGACCGAGGAGTTGGTATGGCACAGTTACAGCGATGGTACTGGAATGCTCAATCGCAGACGTGTGTGCAGTTCAGGTAAGGTAGTACGGGTAGCTTGATGTGGGTTTCGTTCAGTAACAAAATCGAACGAAGGGCGAGCCACGATTGTAGCTCTTACAACATTAGAGGGATCACGTAGTGAGGGCACAGTCCAAGAAACATTCTGAATAGGCTCCTTTCCATTTTCCCCTATTTCTACTCTGCTACTGCCAGTCGCGCACTGCCCCTACCTCAACACATTGCATCCAGATGGAATTTGAGCCACGCCCTTTCGTTAATGCTGTTTTGACCAAATTGAAATAGTTGAAATGACCTTATTTGAATAGGATTGTGAACATTTCTACAGAAACCTTTTTCGGAGAGCAGTGTGATAGAAATCATATACGAATGATATCATAAAAATTACTCCGAACTAATATAAAAGCCTGAAATATTATAGGTAAAGAAATTTGAAAAAAATTGAAATTGCGAGGTGAAATATTGTGAAAGGAAAGACCGAAACAATGGAAAGTAACGAAAATACAAGCTTAACTTTCAGTTATTGCGGAATGAAAGGCACACAGAACAATTTCCTAAGTAAACAGGATTGTGAGCGAACATGTTACGGTAAGTGGACTACCGTATTCTAATATCAAGTTTAATGCCTACTCTTCAGAATGAAAAAAAGTTTTTGTTAAACCTATTATTGATCAAAACCTTTAACGATGTGTCAACCAATTTTTGTTTACCTCATCCATTGCATTCCTTTATTCATCTCTCAACATCATACCGACTGATACCCTGAAAGTTCATCAAAATCTCTTATCCTGCTCAGTGCTTGATAACCCGTGTGCTCTCGGTCCGCCTCAGATGGGCCTGGACAACCGCCCGATAACCTGCTCAGTCGGCATGAACACCTGTGGAGCCAGTTTCTGGTGCCATTTCGGTGCTAACCAGCAGACGACAGTATGTTGCCCTGGGCGAGGTAGGTTTTTTCAGTATTTTGGTAGTGGAAATGTGTGAACTTGGGTTACCCACTATCTCATTAGACAAGCGCTGCCTCTACTTGTTAGAAATATGGGTTAATTCTAAGAACGAATTTATAGCGTTCAACCGACTCTTTACTCTTTCTTGGATCTACCAAATGGTAACCGATTCTTACAGTGAGAAACGAATTCTATCGTGGAAGCTACTTTGTCTACTTCCCTTCCTCACCCTCCCCCTCCCCGATCTCGCGATTACTTCATGCTGATTTCGATTTCGGTATAAGGCCAGAGTCTCGGTGAATTTCTGAGTGAGACTTGGCCATTGTCGCCGGCATGCACCGAGAATCTTGCCTTTTTCAAACCCGACGAGATAAAGCCTCTTCAGATAAGGTTCAAAAAAATGAGCTGAGCTTTGAAGGGATTTTTCGGCGTCCTTTTCATTATCTTGACATCAGCATCTGCGAAGGCATAGGGTTTTTACGATCTCAGATTAGGCAGGACCGTGAGAACGCGACAACTTCTTGCCCAAGCTGTGTTGACCTTCATTTCATATCCAAAGCGAATATGTGAAATCATCACCTACAGTTTCACACATTTTCACCAGCTCCATCCCTGCGTATCTTTCTGTCCCTTGATTAATTAAAAGTTTAGTGGAAGGGCAGGCGGTCTGTAAGCAGCCCCTGGCTCTCGGAACCGGCGATGCAGCACTTCCACGATGGTACTACGATGCATCCACTATGCGTTGTGTTCAATTCTTCTACAGAGGACGTTACGGAAATCAAAATAACTTCCTCAGTCAACATGATTGTGAACAAACATGTCCTGGTGTGTGCTTCGAACCTTTTGAACAACTAATACGGTTGATATCAACATAATACCTTAATAGCACATTTTTGAAAAGTTTTCCATTTATAAGGATTTGAAAAATATTGATCAGTCGATACTCAATTCTAATCTGATAGGCAATGTCGAATAAGTTTTGCTCGACTAAGAATGTAGTGCTTTGAGGACTACAGATCTCCAAAACACTGCCCCTTGGGGTTCTGTTTCCCAAGTTTTTATAATGAGTAACATCTAATCATGATCTATCCAAAGCGATTTTTGGTCACGCCCTCTATTCGTCAAAGGGATTTGCAAGTTTTTGAAAAGCAGGCGCTGAAGTCCTTTCCTATGAGGACCGTTCAGGACTTCCAGAGCCTGTTCGGGCATACTGTTAGACCAGAAATGAGAATCCCAACTAGATGCGGGAAGTGGAGCATTATGATGAGGCTTGATGGGTAAATGAAATGAATTATGAAAACCTACGCAAAAATACTGTTCATTTAAAAGTATTTCAGTGATAACTTGTACAGCTATGAACTGAATTTGATAACTTCATTGAGTGTCATGTTCTGTTGAGTTGTGGAATTACTGAATTGTTCAGTTTATGTCAACGTCTGCCCAGTGGGCAGTCCTCTGTTGGACTCATCAAATCATCCAGTTCCGTGCACATTTGGTGCAAATTCGTGCGGCGCCGACCATTGGTGTCATCTGGGTCTAGTCCCGGACGAATACCAATGCTGTCCGGGTGAGCCAACAGTCCCGGGAGCATGTCAAGGAATGCCTGAAGAACACGGCGAACTCGGTGCACCAGCTCCACCGACGACACGATACTTTTACGATCCGGCCGAAATGGTATGCAAACCGTTCATCTACAATGGCCGTAAAGGAAATCAGAACAACTTCCTTACGCTCGAGGACTGTGAACAAACTTGTAATGGTGAATCAGCATGACTACGAACTGCTTCTTCGACTCCTCTTCGGAATCTTTCCCGATTCTATCGCGATGTGCGACGACGGTGGCGGTCCACATCTAACGCTTTTGTGTATTTTTCAATTTCGTTCAGAGTCTTCATTCTGAGGTTTCTTGATGTGTATTGTGTGGTGTGGACTAACAATAACTTTCGAACTATTTCTTCTGCTCTTTTCAATTTTCTCAATGTTTACAGCATATAAGGTATCTCCTGAATACTAAAAAGTGTGCTCTCTCTAGATTTCCCAGCTCAAAAACTTTTTAAAGTCAGCGACCAGTTCCACGGGTGATAGGAACTGGTAATGGAGATTGGGGATGAACCTTGTCCCTTTAGAGCATTGTTTTAATACGCGTTTACTCTACCTACTCCCATTTGTCCCCTATAATTTTTTGTAATGGCTGAGTGGGAAGCTCACAACCAGGGAAGGAGAGTAACCCCTTTAGGCTAAGTGCTGCAAACAGCTGGGAGCTCGCTGACTGTGCGGTGTGCACCTATATGAGTTTGATTAAAACCGCCATTTTAGTTCCTGAGTGGGTGACATTAAGTCCGGTTTCCGCTAAGTACCTCGTTGTACTCTCAGTATTCGCTGAATTTCTGTGATGCTGGGGTTTATGAAATGAAAAAGGCGTAGTGTAAGCTATTGGATTCACTAGAAACGTATTGCACCATCGCAACCTTCAGTTACAATCAACTTTCAGCTTACTCCCGCCACGAAAATCTTTACATTAATGAAAGTCCTTCTGTCCTGGGCTCATGAGGAACTGCAGATTTCATTTCTACCTCAAACGTATCAGTAAGCTGCTGAGAAGAGGCCAAATATGCTGCAAACAATCTTCTCAACACTCTGACGGTCACCTACTGACTCGCCTAAATCCTTTCGAAGTCATGGTGATCGTCAATGATTATTGTATTCTCTATAGGGAATGTTTTTCAGTGTTTGTGAACCCGTGCAACAAGCCGATATCTCTTCCGCCTCAGCTCTGCAACCCTGGTGGCCCAGATATGTGCGGGCCAAACGCTTGGTGCCATGTTGGTGCTTCGCCGGACACCACCCTTTGCTGCCCGAGCGGTTAGTGGAGCTCCTCTCTTATGAAATTAATTGTTTAAAATTTTTAATTGACCTTTTTTGAACCCAGTACAAGAAAGTTCAGCGATGACTGAAGTATCACTCTCTTCAGAAGGTGATCCCTGTTCGTTGCCTTTGTTGCTAGGTGAGGGCAATCAGTTCATGGATCGATGGTACTACAACCAACAAAGTGGATCCTGCCAGCCATTCACGTATGGTGGACTTCATGGAAATCAGAACAATTTCCTTACGAAAGAGGTGACACCTAATAAAATCCGCCATGAAATCCGCCGACAGAAAAACGACTTTCAGGCTTGTGATGAACGATGCGGACCGAATCCCTGTTTCGAGGGTCGGCCGTTTGTCGGTGTAGACGGCCGTCCACAAACATGCTCCATCTCAGCGAACTTGAATACCTGCCCAGCAAACTATTGGTGCCATATTGGTGTCGATATGAGCACGACTGTTTGTTGCCCAGGAGGTAAGTAAAGCATGTAACAAAGGTTTTTCTCAAGGAAACAGCCAACACTCACTAAGGAAAGTCTTTCCCGGTAAGGACGCTTTATAACCCATTCGGGAATTGCCCGGTAGTGGGTTACATAGCCGCTAAGAAAGTGGAACTCAAGGTGAATGAGAAGAGAGACTGACGCTCATTCATACGGCTTGAGAGTTCACCTTTGAGAAGCTTGAGACTAGCCTTCGAGAGCGCAGGAAGAAAAGAAGTCCACTTCATTTGTATGGTAATTCAGTTACGTAATAGGGCCACGATCGCTTTGGAACCGGTAGTAAACAGCTAAAGAGGTTTTACATTTGTTTTATAACAGTTCAACATTCATCCCTACTTCTTTTTTTCAGCATCCATAAATGTCTGCAACTTACCCATGTCAACTGGTGAAGGAAATTACAATTTGGAACGTTACTACTTTGACCAGTCCACGAAAACTTGCCGTCCATTTATCTACAATGGCTTGAAAGGAAATCAAAACAATTTCATCACATTGGTGAGTGAAGACGGGCGATTTTCACGAACGATGGATGGTATGCTCGAAAGTGCATTGCAACCTTATACTTCGAGAAGTGCAGCACGAACATCCTCTCTTTGTGCTTCCCACTTTTTATACAAAAAGCTTTCAACGTGTGACGTCTTTTTCAGTTTGCTCTTTGGAAAGTGGTACTAACCGGGGAACTTCTTCTCACTGCAAAATAGACATTTAAAAGCTTCACCCATTCAGAATCCTCAAAGCTATTGTTAACGTGAGTGTGAAAGAGAAGACACGCTGGCTATTGTACCCTCCACATTGTGTGGTTCTTTCTTTCCAGTTAACAATCGTCTCATAAAAGCTTCTTTTTCCGGGCATCCATCAAGGGTCAACTAGATATTTTTCACTTTTCACGCCTGTGTTTTGCAGTGGAAAACCAGTGGTAGACTAGGATATCTGTATTCTTGGGTGGGGCTTAGATCAATAAAGTTGTTTTCCAAGAGAAGAAGATGAAGTGTGTGGTGCATCGTCTAAATAGAAGATTCTATCTGAGACATCCCTTCAGGGTAGGGCTTGAAAGTGATGGTGGTAAGTACAGTTTCGGGATACGCCCGCGTATTCGACATCCATTCAAAACGGTGGGAGCGTTGAATGCTCATGTGGCCTGTACAATGGGTGACGGGGAAGTGTTGGTGCATAGCTCAATACTTCTCCTCTCCTTTGGTACCAACAATTCGGCCCATAGAAGTCGAAGTCAAGTTTGTGTAAATAGAAGTCGGATTGGTACCATGGCCAATTATCATTTGGCGTTCCTGAGGGGATGGGAAGTTTGGTCAGAATCTTACTGTATTCCATCTCCGTACCATAAGCTTGGTAGCGTCATCACATGGCGCTACCATACTTTCAGCAACTATTGGGCTTATATTAGCTTTTTCAGAGAGCTTGCCAGCTTTCTTGTCAACCTCTGGACAATCCTTGCATCGGTCAACCGGCTACCACGGCTGCTGGACAGGTAAAATGTCGTCTGATCAAATATGAATAGGTATTAAATAGTAATCTGTCATAAAATGAAGTAAGCCATGTGGTTCCATTGATATGAATATTGATAAGTAAGCATAAAGGCAAGATGTAAATGAATGGGATATGTGGCCAACTGATACGTTCCGTGAGGAGAAATGCTTCAGAGACTCTTAGACTAGGTATTTCAGGTTCTGTTCTGCTCATCAACCAACAAAGATACTTGCCCAGTGAACTTCTGGTGTCATCTCGGTGCTACACCTGAAACTACAGTATGCTGCCCCGGAGGTACGTTCACTGCACCCCATGCCTTCTTTTAATAATTCGAAGTAGCTTCCTCACAACGACGTTTTTAGCGACAAATCCTTGCTCGGTTCCATTGGCGCCTGGCACTGGCAATGCAGGATTAGCTCGATGGTATTATAATCCAGATGATAGGGTAGGTTCAGTTCTTTGCTTCAAGCTGTTCGTAGCATCACTTCCGCCCTTGCGGAACGGGCTACGTATCCGACTTTGTCCGAAATCGTAATGATGTTTGAGCGCATTTCTGTAGCCTAACACGGGAAAGGAGAATTCACCCCTAAGTTTTACCCTGTTGTTCAAAAAGGCCCATATATGTTTGTACCATGCCATATGGCACTTTCCACTGCCTCACGTTCGACTAGTAATACTTAATGGAGAATTTGACCGAAGGATCCTGACCATGGTTCGCGGCGCTCTGACTTTCCAATATTCTTGCCCCGGGTCAGTCACTGCTGTCTGTCTTGACAATCAGTCCTTTCTCAGCTTCAAAATTCATTTTCAGCAATGTTTCCCATTCCAATATAATGGCAAGCGAGGTAATCAGAATAACTTCGAAACCCAAGCCGAGTGTGAACGAACCTGTCCAGGTGCGTCGGAATGAATGGAAATAGCCTATTAGGCATTTTTAATGCTATACAAAACCGTTGGTCGACGTATGTTATCTTCACTAACACCATTCTGCATGCATTGCTTCCTCTTCACTTTGCACTCCTCGTCATTCTCTTCGGGACGGTCGGCTCACCTCACACCCGATCACGGCCCGACTNGAATGGAAATAGCCTATTAGGCATTTTTAATGCTATACAAAACCGTTGGTCGGCGTATGTTATCTTCACTAACACCGTTCTGCATGTATTGCTTCCTCTTCACTTTGCACTCCTCGTCATTCTCTTCGGGACGGTCGGCTCACCTCACACCCGATCACGGCCCGACTCGCAAGAGGTTTCAGTATTTGTGAATCCATGCTTGGGTGACGTACACATCGATGAGAACCGAGTTCCTACTGTGTGCAATCCGATGGGCAAAGAACAATGTCCAACAGGATATTTCTGTCTTCCTGGGGATCCTGCCACGAAGAATTCCAGCTATTGTTGCTCTCGGATAAATCGTAAGTAGATTCATTTCCAGCCTATTTTATCGCCTCCTCGAACTCATTAGGGAAAAGGTTATTTCAGAGGAACCATGTGATTCATCATGGAGTGAAGGAGAAGGTGATGACTCGCTGGATCGATTCTACTATAACCCTATAGAAGGCGATTGTTATCCTTTCAAATACAAAGGCAGAAAAGGAAACGAAAACAATTTCCTTACGAAGAAGTTGTGCCAGGAAAAATGCAAACCAAGTAAGTGCTCTTTCTCATAACTCTGTAGTCGTGCTCCTTGATAATCGGATATTCTTCATAGTCACTACGGTCTGCTTCGGTGGCGAACTTCCGCTTATGTCACCAAGTGGACGAGTTGTCCAGTGCTACAATGAGCCCTGTCCTGATAATTATTACTGTCATCATGGCAAGGATATCAAATCAACTGTCTGCTGTGAGAAAAGAGGTGGGTTCATGCCTGCCATGGAAATCGCAAAACACTAGCTGTGTGTATGAGCCTAATGAGACACCTGCTTTCGTTCACTTTTATTCTTTTTTTTCTTTTTATCATGTTCAATTCTACAGTACCTTCCGATAGGGGTTGCCATTTAGGTTCCCCATGTGATCAGCAGCTTATGCTGGGTGTAGGCGATGCCTCCCTTCCAAGATTCTACTATGATCTTCTGGAAGACACCTGCTTACCTTTCAACTATACCGGCATCGGTGGCAATGAAAATAA